AGTCTTTGCTCTTCACCGACTCAGCACTTCAAGTCCTCTTCACCTTCAGCAAGCTAGGCCTGTCATCTGCATATCACAGGTTGTTAATGAGTCTTCCTCTAATCCTGATGCCACGTTCTTCTTCAGATAGTCCAGCTTCTCATATCATTTGCTCAGCACATAGATTGAATAAATATGGTAAGAAGATACAACCCTGACATACACCTTTCCTGATTTTAAGCCACGCCGTATCCCCTTGTTGTGTTCAAACGACTGTCTCTTGGTCTGTCTACAGATTTCTCCTGAGTACAATCAAGTGTTCTGGAATTTCCATTCTTCACGATGTTATCCGTGATGTGTTCTGATTCACATGTCGAATGCCTTTGCATAGTCAGTAAAACACAGGTGAACATCTTTCTGGTATTCTTTACTTTCAGCCAAGATCCATCTGACATCAGTATAATATGACTAGTTCTACATCCTCCTCTGAATCTGGCTTGAATATTTGGCATCCCTATCAACCATTTTTGAATTATCCTCAGCAAAATTTTACGGGTGTGTGGTATCAGTGGCATTAAGGAGTTCTGGTGGTGCAGTGGTTAAGGCATTGGGCTGCTAAACACAAAGGCCAGCAGTTTGAACCCAGTGGTCGCTCTGCAGGGAAAGATGAGGCAGTCTGCTTCCATCAAGATTAACAGCCTTGGAAATCCTGTGGGGCGGTTCTACGTTGACCTGCAGAGTCCATGAGTCGGAATCGATTCGATGGCAGTGGGCTGGGATTCATACCATGGTTTGATGAGTTCCACATTCTGTTGGATCACCTTTCTTTGGAAGGAGCACCAACATAGATCTCTTCCAATCAATTGGCCAGGTAGCTATCTATTAAGTTTCTTGGCATGGTTGAGTGAGCACCTTCCAGTTCTGCATCTGTTTGGTAAAACATTTCATTTGGTATTCTGTCAATTCCTGGAGTCTTGTGTTTGCCAACGTCTTCAATGCAACTTGAACTTCTTCCTTCAATATCGTTGTTTCTTGATCATATGCTACTTCCTGAAATGGTTGAATGCCAACCAGTTATTTTTGATACAGTGACTCTGTGTATTCCTTCCATCTTCTTTAGATACTTCCTGCATCATTCAATATTTTGCCCATAGAATCCTTCAATGTTGCAACTCGAGGCTTGAATTTTTCTTCAGTTCTTTCAGCTTGAGAAATGCCAAGCATGTTCTTCCCTTTTGATTTTCTAACTCCAGGTCTTTGTGCATTTCATTAGAATACTTAATTTTATCTTCTCAAGCTGCCCTTTGAATCTTCTGTTCACCTCTTTTATGTCATAATTTCTTCTTTTCACTTTAGCTATTCTATGCTTAAGAGCAAGTTTCAGAGTCTCTTCTGACATCCATTTTGGTCTTTTCTTTCCTTCCTGTCTTTTTAATGGTCTTTTGCTTTCTTCATGTGTAATATCCTTTTTGTCATCCTACAATACTTCTGATCTTTGATCATTAGTGTTCAATGTGTCAAATCTGTTCTTGAGATGATCTCTAAATTCAGGTAGGATATACTCAAGGTTGTATTTTGACTCACATGGGCTTGTTTTAATTTTCTTCCATTTCAACTTGAACTTGCACATGAACAGTTGGTGGTCTGTTCCACAGTGGCCCCCTGGCCTTGTTCTGACTGATGGTATTGAGCTCCTCCTTTGTCTCTTTCCACAGATGGAGTCGATTTTCTTCCTATGTATCCCATCTGATGGGTCCATATGTATAGTCACTGTTTACATTGTTGGAAAGGGTATTTAAAACGAAGAAGTTGTTGGTCTTGAAAACTCTATCATGGGATCTCTGGCATCATTTCTATGACCAAGGCTATATTTTCCAACTACTTATGCTTCTTCTTTGTTTCCAGCTTTCACATTCCAGTCACTAGTAATTATCAGTGCATCTAGATTGATGTTTGGTCCATTTCAGACTGCAGAAGTTCATAAAAATCTTCAATTTCTTCATCTTTGGCATTAGTGGTTGGTGTGTAAGTTTGAGTAATAGCTGTATTAACTTGTCTTCCTTGTAGGTGTATGGACACTATCCTATCACTGACAATATTGTACTTAAGGCTAGATCTTGAAATTTTTTTTTTTGATGGTGAATGTGATACCATTTCTCTTCTATTTGTCAATTTCCAGCATGGTAGGCCATTTGATTGTCTGATTTTTAAAAAATTTATTGTGATTTGAGTTTAAATTTACAGAGCAAAATTTGTTTTACATTCAACAGCTCATGTACATTTGATTTCATGCCCCAATTACCATCCCTGACCAGGACAAACTCTCCTCACCTCAAGTCCCTGTGACTACCTCCTCCCTGTGCCCTTCTTAACTATGCATTCCTGTCTGTCCAGCTTTCCCTCTGGGTGAATGAATGCTGTCCCTCTGGTGCTCCATGGACCAATTGTTCTGAGGGGTGTATCTCCCTGGAGTAGGTAGGTGTATCACCTTTGGTTAGGTGTTCTGCATGTAGGTCTTTCTACTGTTGGGCTGAGAGCCAATTCATGGGAGTAAGTTCAATTCTAGGCCCAAAGGGTAACCCAGGGCCATAGTCTTGGGGGTTCCACCAGACTCCATCTGATCAGTAATTCTGGTCATTTTTTGGGTTTTTGAATTTTTTCCACATTTTTCCTCCCACTCTATCCAGGATCCCCAGTTTTGATCTCTTTCTGAGTGGTTGGCATTAGTAGACAGGCACCATCTAATTCTGGTTGTCTGACTGAACGCCAGTCCATTTCAGCTCACTAATACCTAGGATTTATGGATTCCATTTCATTTCTGACAACTTCCAGTTTTCCAAGATTCATATTCATACATTCCAGATTCCAAGTATTAATAGATGTTTGCAACTGTTCCTTCGCATTTTGAGTTGTGCCCCATCAGCAGCAAATAAAGGTCCTGAAAGCTTTACTGCATCCACATCATTAAGGTCCTGAATGCTTTACTCCATTGTTAAAATTGTCATTAAATTTGACTCTACTTTGTGGAAGCTCTCTTCCCTAGTTGTTTTCTAAGTGCCTTCCCACCTGAGGGGCTCATCTTCCAGCACCGTCTCAGACAATTATCTGCTGCTATTCATGAGGTTTTTAGTGACCTATTTTGTTTGGAAAAAGACCACCATGTCCTTCCTCCAAGTCTGTCCTAGTCTGGAAGCTCCACTGAAACCTGTCCACCCTGGGTAACCCTATTGGTATTTGAAATCCTAGTGGCACAACCTCCAGCCTCACAGCAACACCAACATGGAAGCCACCGCAGCATTGCAAGCTGACAGACGAGTGCTGGAAGAACCTCAGAAAGAGTGTCACTGTTTTTACCAACAGTGTGAAAAAAGATACATGATGCTGTTCTCAGAACAATTTCTGCCACAGATTTTTGGCCCAGCCCTATAGATAAAGATCTCTCCAGGACAGACTTCAGGTCCCATTCAGAAGGCTTCCAGAAAAAAGCTATGGACCCACTCAACAATTTGGTTTATGTATCCACACAGCCCTGGCAAAAGTGGGGCTGCCACTATAAGTCTGCCTCTTCTCCTCACCTGTACCAGGGACACTTGCCATTGAGTTGATTGAACCCATGGTGATCTCAGGTGTGTGAGTGTAACTATCTCCATAGGATTTTCAGTGGCTGAATTTTTGGATGTAAATCACCAGGCTTTCCCCCAAACTACCTCTGTGTGGACTTGAACTCCAACCTTTTAATTGGCAGCCAGGTGTGTTAACTGCTTACACCCAGAGACTTGCCATGATTCAGAAATGACTGGGCAGCAATTGGTTGCCCTTACCTGTAGTGAGTGTTTATTGCAGGCTCTTGCCAGGGTAGGATGTAGCCTCCTCGGACATGAAGGTTGATGTGGTCAAGGGGGGCAGCCAGGGTCTTCCACACCCCTGCAGATTCCTCACCAGATTCCTGGGAGGGAGAAGGTGGACAAGGAGAGGAGACAGAAAAGTAAAAGATGTGAGCGTGAGCACGTGTTTCACTCCACCTCCTTCCTTTCCAGGAGGCACGTTGACTAGTTACCAGAATGCTGCCAGCCGTGGGAAAGTCTCATTCTCAGCCCTGCCAGCAGCTCTGGGAACCCAAACGTTCTCTGTATTCAACGAAGGGCCAAGACGTCCTTCCTTCTGAAGGTGCTCCAAGAACATAGGGGAGGGGAGTGACGAGGGCCAAGGTTTGAGACAGGTCCTCAGATGTTCTCTATTTGTAAACTCATATGTGAACTTTCATTTAGACAAACCCTGCCGTGGCCAGAAGCGTTGGACAGTGTTGCCCTAGAGAATCTGGGCCAGAAATCAGGAGCACAATCTGGCCACCTCTTTAGCCTTCAAGGAGCAGTCTGGCTCTGCACAAACCCACAGGTGAGCTCTTACCGTGTGGTAGTCATACCAGCGGGCTCTGGGGAAGTACGCAGAGATCTGCCGGGCACCCTGGAACACAAAATCCACACACTGTTAGGGATGTGCTGTGAAGGAAACACGTTAATCTTCATTTCCCAGACATGTTCAGTAGAATTAAGACCAAAATGGGAATTGTATTACTGATGTCAAGAGTTTGAGAGGTTTTATTGTAAAAGTCTTAGGAAAATCTTCTTAAAACACGCAGAAAGATGGACTTATACAAAAATCAAATTTTATAAGGATGCAAGGTGATAAAATTCTAAAATGTTAGATCAAAGGGTCATGTGATTTCACTAAGGAAGATCTTGGGGAGGGAGGAGGTCTCTCTCAGAGTCCCCAGACAGTAGACATGGTTTGCCTGCCAGGAAGGAGCTGGATATGTCCTTATCATTTGCAACGCACTGCTAACTTAAAAGGTGGTAGTTCCAACCCACCCAGTGGCAGAAAGACCAGGGATTATGCTTTTGTAAAGATTATAGCCAAGAAAATGCTATGGAACTCAGCTCTGCTGAGTCAGACTCCAGGAGTCAGAGTCGATGCCACAGCCAAGGGCAACAGGAAGCCCGACGAGGGGGCGGTCCTTATGGTTCTCCTCTGTGCTTTGGGTGATGAGATTGGAAGGTTTCTGACAGCCACTGGGAACTCACACTTTCCAGCACGGGGCTGATCAGGATGGCAGGGCCCAGCATGAACTGACGGTCGATGTCCCAGGTCACGCTGTCGTTTGGAAACCTTAAAGGGTACATAAGAAGCACTCACCTCTGCTGGCACGCCTGCAGTGTGGGGTGCTTACCGCACACACCCAGGCCTTCTGCACGGGAAGAGGCATGACTCACTCGTGGAGAAGGGGCCGCACGACAGTGCTGCCCTCGGTGTGGGCCTTGTGCATCAGGGTGTAGAGGTATGGCAGCAGGGTGTATCGGGTCTGCAGGACCCTCCTGGAAATGTCCTCAAAGTAGGCATCCCAGGACACAGGGTCTTGCCTCTGAAGGAGAGGGGAGAGGACCCATTCACTGCCCCCAGTCGTGTCAGAGAAGGCTCAGCAGACCCACCTCACACGTTGGCCAACCTGACTCCTTCCTTCCCTCCCAGCCAGCCATTTAGAAACTGGAGGGTGTGCTCGCCTCCAATCGCCAATTCCTATGTCACTGCACGAGTCTAACTTCGAACCCTTGTGTGTGTGGAGGCAGGACTCCAGGCAGCACAGACACCTCTTGGTGGGTTTGAGCAAAATACAAACTAAGTATTTTTTAAAGGACAGGGGCTTCTCCTCTGCCAGCCCGTTGGGAGCCGTACAAATCTCTCTCTCACTGGCCCTGTTCTCCCAGGAGATGAGAAAGGTGGATTGTTAAGAGGTGTTGGTAACTGTGGGGTTCAGGGTTCAGAGTTCTTTGGGATTTCCACAAAATGGGCAGTCAGGTTATATTAATTCCTTCTTGGGTAGTGAGTGTGACATCTGTGGGGTGGTGGAACTATCCTTCGTGATATGACAGTGGATTCAGGACATGACGCATTTGTCAAACCCACAAAAGTGCATCCTAATGCCAACTGTGTGCTTTGGTGAACAGCGATGTATCAGTATTGGCTGATCAATTGTAACAACTGTAGCCCTTGTATCAAATGTATCCGCTGTAGCAAATGTAAAAACCAAACTCAAGGCTCTCCAATCACTTATGACTCCTAGCAATCACCACTGGGTTTTCAAGGCTGTAAATCTTCACGGAAGTAGACTGTCTACTCTTTCTTCCTCGGAGCGGCTGGTGAGTTTGAACGGACGACCTTCTGGTTAGTGGTCAAGTGCCTTCTCCACTGCACCCCCAAGAGGTAAGATTTTAATAACAGGGGAAGTGTATGTGGGAGGGCATGTTATTTGGGAATTCTCTGTACGTGATTTTCCTGTAAACCCCAAACTGCTCTCACATGGACAGTGCATTAAGGACAGGACACGATTGGAGGGTGTGCGCGGCTGCCTCACCCGGGTCCCCATGGTGTTGTGGTTCCTGGAGAAGGGATAGAAGGCCCCCAGCTGCATCCAGCGGAGACACAGCTCATAGTTCGCATTCCCGGAGAACCCACAGATGTCTGCTCCTGTCTGCAAAGCACAACATCAGGCATGAAGTGGGGTGTGTGCGGGCTGCAGGCCCTGGGACCTGGCTGTGTAGGCATAAGGGCCAGGACCACTTACATAAGACATTCCAAAGAGGCTGAATTCCATCATGCCTGCAATAAGAAGACACCACAGGGTTGGACCAAGTAAGACTTGGGGAGGGGAAAGTTTCACCTGCCTCTTCCGTAGCCCGTTAGAAAGTCCTGGGCACCTTCTGGTGAAAATGTCTGAAGATGTGTGTACACCAACACCCACACCTTGTTGATTTCACCCCACACTCCAGCCCCCACCCACCCACCCATCCCAGGAACAAGCCCCCTCACCGATGACAGACTTCCTCAGCTGGTCCCATGAAGCTGCGTTGTGGCCCAGCCAGTGTCCTCCCCAGCGGCCAGAGGAGGGGAAGGTGGAGCGGGTGATGACAATGCCTCGCTGCCCCGTCACCTCCTGCACAGCCCTGGGGACAGGGACAAAGAGGAGATTGAAGGGGCTTTAAGGACATCACACAGGCAGCAGCTGCAGCCTGAGCAAAGGCGACAGGAGCTCTTTCTGCACCGGGAGCTTCTCTCTGGGAGGACCCACCATCTGCACGGGATGCTAAGAGCCCTGGTGACTTCCAGAGGGCAGCTGCGTGACATCAGCCCCCAGAGCAGCACTGCCTTCTGTTACCAACACTGAATTAGCCAGTTGTCTACGTGGACGTCAGGAGCCCAGGTGGCCCACTTGTTAAGCACATGGCTGTTAACTGAAAGGCAGTAAGAACCCACCAGCCATGCCCAGGAGAAAGGTGAGGCGGTTGGTTCCATTAAGATTGACAGCCTTGGAGACCCTTTGGGGCAGTGCCACCTTGTCCTCTAGGGGCGCTGTGGGTCAGAATGGACTCCACGGCAGTGGGTGTGGTTTGGGCTCTGCTTCTGTGAAGATTGACAGCCTTGGAGACCCTGTGGGCAGTTCCACTCTGTCCTCTAGGGGCGCTGTGGGTCAGAATCGACTCCACGGCAATGGGTGTGGTTTGGGCTTTGCTTCTGTAAGATTGACAGCCTTGCAGACCCTGTGGGCAGTTCCACTCTGTCCTCTAGGGGCGCTGTGGGTCTGAATGACTCCACGCAGTGGTTGTGGTTATGGTCCACGTGGGACCCAGGAGAGGGCAATCCCTCCGTCCAGCGTCGTCCCACCCACTTGCAAGTGTCCTGCCTCGCAGCCTTGTCAGAGGGTTTCCCACCCCCTTTAACTGAGGAAACGGAGAAGGGGGGTAAGAGTCCAGGATGACTGGGAGAGCAAGGAGCGGAGCTGAGGTTGGGGAGACCTGCTCCCCCTCCAGGGGCAGCCCTGTGCACGCAGAGTCTCGTGGAGGAAGGGCACACTCACTCTTGGGTGCGCCTGGTCTGCGCCCAGCCGTACAGGCTGTGCACGTCGTAGTGCCGCGCCGGGGAGCCGTCCGCCAGCACCTGCCCACTCTCCATGCACAGGGTCTCGCTGCTCAGGCCCCTGTCCCGGGACTCCAGATCTGAGGGGAAATTTTCATTCTTTCCACAGAGACTGTGGAAATGTGAATTCATGAGACGTGCCCGTCATTTGATGTCTCCCCATTTCCACCAGCAATTCTTTCACTAGTACCAGGTCCAAGGTAAGGGTGTGTAGTCCACACAACCCACATTTGGTGACATTATTACTGACGAGGGGTGAGGACAGGGCGTGGAGCTATGGGAGCTTAATGGCTCCCTGGGTGGTGAGAACCGTTAAGCACTGGAGTCCTGGCAGAAAGGTTGGTGGTTCTAATCCTCTCAGAGGCGCCTTGGAAGAAAGGCCTGGTGATGTGTTTCCAAAAGGTCCCAACCTTGAAAACCCCATGGAGCAGTTCTCCTCTGAGACACACGGGATCGCCCTGAGTCGGAATCCACTCCACATCAACCAAGGGCATCCCGGCCCAAGTAGCACCCAATACCCTCTCTTGTTGCCGTGTCTGTCTCTCCCACTAGATGGCAGTGTTCTCAAGGGACTAGCTCTTGTTTCACCCAACTCTGTTAATGTCCCCCCATCTCTATTTGAATTAAGAGAGGAAAGAGAAAATGAACGAGTGGGTTGCTGGACAGTGGGCAGCATAGCAGTGACCTAGACATCAAGAGACTTGGTTTCTAAATCCTGTCCCTCAAATGAGCAGTGCAGCACTTTGGGGAGGTGGGCCCCTCCATCCTGGGCCTCTGTAAGGGGAGAGGGCTCACTTCCTGAGACCTCTTCCATCCCAGCATCCTCTGGGCCTCTCTACCTATTCGCACCACAGTCCATTCAGGGAGTCCTTCATAGAGGGTCTTTGAACATGGGCAGAGAGAGGCAGGGACTAGGTTTCATTGTCTAATCAAGAAACAGAAAGGGAGGGAGAGGGAGAGAGAGAGAGAGAGAAGGGGGTTGTTGGTCACCAAGGGAACCAGATGCGTCAAGCTTTCTCGGTTCCGTCCTCAGCATCCCTCTCCTTATTTCCGGGCTTGCACCTCTTCCCACTTACGATTATTCTATTGTTTTGTTTTGTTGCCGTTTTTGCCTGTGACTGTGTTCTGTCTGCAACACTGGCCTTCACTTGGCTGTCAGGGTTTGGGACCGAGAACAACTTGATGTAATAACCACTGTACATACATGGCATGTAGGGAGGGTTATTCAGAGTGTTGTCCCGGCAGCCGCTGACAGATCCGTTCACGAAGTTCGATGGTTCGTTCATATCCTAAAGTGAGTTAGCAAAGAGGAGTCCACGAATCAGGGCCATATGGCCTTCGCTGCAGAAGACGTTCAGGGAGGCGGCTGGGTTGTCTGGAAGCCTCACACCAGCCACATGTACTCTCCTTAACCCCAGGCACAGACCCAGAGGGGCTCTAAGCAAACGTGTGGGCTTCAAGGGTGTCAGCGCCTTGTGGTACAAACAATTCACATGCTCGGCCGCTAGCCAAAGGTTGGAGGTTTGTGTCCAGCTAGATGCCCCGCTGAAGAAAGGCCACTGCAACCCCCTGAGCAAAGTCTGCGGTAACCCACACGGGGTCTCAGGCGTTGCAGTGGGTTCCACGTCAACCAGTGTCAGCTGACTTAGCGTTTTTGAGGTTTGGCGGACTACTTCCTACTGGCAAAAATATTGAGACGGGGCCCACCCAGAGCCTAAGGAAATCCTTCACGATTCACCTCCCCACCGAGAAGCCACCTTGGCCTTCTAGGCATGGGTTCTCCACTGGTATCTGCAGCCAATGGCCAACAGGATCTCCCCCTGCCCTTCTTAGCCCAATAGCTTGAACTAAGTGTGGAGCTCTGGTCGTGTAGTGGGTAAGGGTTTAGCTGCCAATCAGAAGGTCGGTCGTTCAAACCCACCAGCTGCTTCACAAGAAGAAGATGAGGTAATCTACTTCCATAAAGATTTACAGCCTTGGAAACCCAATGGGGGTTGCTATGAGTCAGAATTGACTCAATGTCAGTGGGTTTGGTTTTTGTAAATCTGACACCAGTGTAGAGCAAGTTCAAGGAGGGCTTGCCTCACTTTCTGTAGTAGACACCTTCCTGGAAAGCTGTTGGTAACTCCAAAACAAATCTGGAAATGAGACCATGCTTGAGAGGACTTACTGCATAAACACAGAGTAAGGACCCCTGGGGTGAATGTTCCCTGCCCACCTATCAGTAAAGAAGTTGGAGTTGGTATATGAGACCATTTTAAACCGCATATACTAAGGGCAGGTGAACACATCTAGGGCAGTATTTACACTCCTAGTTACCCCTCACAGCTTTCCCTCTGCTGGCACAGAGCCCAGCGGTATCGGCCTCTCTTAGTCCTCACAGCTGCCCCGTCTCCTCCCTGTCCGATTTTCCTCTCCGGGCTAGTTGTGTCCTTTCTTGTGTCTGCTCTGTGCCTAGCTTTCCTGGTGGGGTGTGTGTGTAACCAGCAGGCCTCAGGGCTGGCCGTGGCCTCACAGCTTTGTCACTAGATGAGTTGAGAGCTTCCTGCAGCCTGGCCCCCATCCAAGTGGCTCTGCAGAGAGCTGACCTAGACCACGCTCAAGATTCAGGCCACTGGACAGAGGGGAGGGAAATTGGGACACTGACATGTTCCCACTTCTAGAAAGACACCAGTGGGAGAATCCAGAAGCCCTGGTGGCGCAGCGGTTAAGCACTCAGTCACCAACTGAAAGGTTGGCCATTCCAACCCAGCAGCTGCTCTGCAGGAGAAAGATGTGGCAGTCGGCTTCATTAAAGATTCCCTCCGTGGCTGGTCAGTGGATTCTGACTCCTAGGGACCCTGTAGGACAGAGTCAAACTGCCCCCATTAGGTCTCCAAGGCTGTAAGTCTCTATGGAAGCAAAGCCCAAACCAAACCCACTGCCATGGATTCAATTCCAACTCACAGCACCCCTAGAAGACAGAGTGGAACTGCCCCAGAGGGCTTCCAAGGCTGTCATCTTTATGGAAGCCTACTGCCTTGTTTCTCCTCTCACAGAGTGGCTGGTGGGTTCAAAGTGCCACCGTTTTTAGTTAGCAGTCAAGTGCTTTAGCCACTGCAGCACTAGGGCTCTGATCCGTTGAGATGGCAGCCTAGGGAACCCTCTGTGGCTGTTTCACTCTATCCTGTAGGGTCACTTTGAGTGTCATCTCCATGACAGCAGTAGGGTGGGTTTAAGAGAGTATGGAATGGGCATCCCAGAGGTTCTCAGGAAGTCCTGCTCTTGAGCCCATGCATGAGGGCAGCACACCTGGATGGTGTTTCTAAGGCAACAGGTCACATGAGTTCCCCAGCACCTCTGTACTGGGAAGGTAGGAATGTAAGACATCCCTCGGCTTCCTCCTGGTCTGCCCCAAGTCTGACCTGTGCAGTGAGCTCCCTCCCCACCAGCTTCTGGGTGGGTGTAACCTGTGGGAGGCACTGGGGGGGTGGGGGGAGAAGCATTCCCCCTCCTCCTTATCCTGGCAGCACCTCCTCCATGTGCTCCAACGTCCAAGGACGATGGGGCCCAGCAGGTGGCAGTCCTCTCCCCATGCCTTCCTTCCATAACGGCACCCTCCCCAATGTCCAAGGACAGTGGGCAGTCATCTCCCCATGCCTTCCTTCCATAACAGCACCCTCCCTCACGTCTCCTTACCTCTAGCCCCAGCTCTTCTAGTCTCGGGACTGCTCCACATTCCTGGCCAGGACCAAGTCCAGAGAAAAACAACCAAAGGTGCACTTACGAGCAGCAGGCCATCAAACTTGAGGCTCCTCTCTGGCTCCCGAGGGTTTTCGTAGAGCTCTTGAATCTCTCTCTTCCACCACGCAGCTGTACTATTGCGTAAGAAGTCGGGAAACGCCACATGGGCCCTGTACAGCTGGGACACAACAAATGCTCACGGTCCAGGGCAGCAAGGGCAGCCGGGCCAAGGCCAGACGCATGGTGTCTGACCTCACTCAGATCTGCTGCCACCTCCCAGTCCACTGGGACACAGAGAGGCCAGACAAGGCCAACCACACTCTCATTTTCCTGGAGCAGCTACGGGATGTGTTTTATGGCTGGGCACTCAATCATGAGGCAGAGCCTAAACTGAACATCAAAGATGGTGCTGCAGAACTCAGGAGATGCCAGACAGGTACCCTGGCTCCGGCGAGTGCCAGCAATGCTTAGACCAAGGGCAGTGCTCCTATGAAGGGCTTGCATTTCTTGCTCCATGCAGACAGTTCATTCAAGCCCAGTCTGTTCATAATGGACACCTCTTCACTGAAAATATTCTAGACTTTGGTTCACTGGTTCTCAAGCAACTTCAGTGTCAAACCAAGCACTGCCCCCTAAAGGCACTCATGGAGGGCTTCACTTGTGACTTCCTGCTACTCATTTCCATTACAGTTGTTGGTTGAGTTTTCTATTTGACCACCTCTCTCTGCCAAGAAAGGAGTTCTGGTTAAAGCATTGGGCTCCTAACCAGAAGGTTGGCAGTTCAAAACCATCACCGCTCCATGGGAGAAAGATGAGGCAATCTGCTCCCTTAAAGACTGACAGCCTTGGAACCCTATAGGGCAGTTCTATTCTTTCCTAAAAGGTCACTAAGAGTCATAATAGACTCAATGGCCATGGATTTCTGTTTTTTGGTTTTCTGCCAAGAATCTACCAATTCACAAGCACACTCAGATTAAAGCTACAACACACAAGGATCCAGATGTTTGGGACATTGTTGACAACTGTACCTTCACCTGAGTCTCGTGGTCAAGAGACCCATCCACATTAACGTTGGGCAGATCCGGCCAAGCCTAGAGCAGAAGAAGAAACATCAAAACCTTTAGAAGAGTGGTGCCCACAACAGTGAGAGGTTCCGCATTGGACCCTGACACTCTGCAGCTCCGGAAAAATGCCCACGGATCTCGGGCTTCAGATTGGACAGGCAGCGATGAGACCTCGCGGTGACCGCACTGGGAGCTCAAGATGCAGGCCACAGTTTCCGAAGCCTCCCTTCTGAACGTAGTGATTGGCTTTGTCATAGCCCCCAAACAATCCCTGTCAGATCATTATAGACCCTGACACAATGTTCCCTCCACAAACAATGACTGGGAAGGAGGACTCCAAAGAAGGAAGACTGAGTTCCAGTCCCAGCTCGTAAAGCTTAGCCTCAACACTTGGAACCAATATTGTGGACTTTTGGGGGTCCAATCTAAAGAGCCTTATAAAATCCATGGTAAAGTAACCATTTCCTCTGTAGCTGGAAGGACATGAACCCTACACATGTACTAATTGGGGCATACGGTGAACACTCCTTCAGTGCTTACTGTGTGCAGGGCACTGTTCTGGGGCCTGATCTGTGGAAATTTAAGTGGAAAATGGTGCTGTTTTCTGACTTTGTAGATAGTAGCTCAGTGCTTGGCTGTGTGTTGTACCTTTTGAGGATTGTGATACAGACAAGGAGAAACAGGAAATGCTGAAGTAGCCACTAACAGCTGCATAGGACAACATTTAAGTTGGTTCCTGAGGAGCAGATAGTGTTGGCAGAGCTGAGAAGATAACGTTCAAAGCACCATGAGCTGAGTGTGTGCCCCAAGCGATAGGAAGCAGTGAGATATGTCATGAGAAGAGTCTGGCTCCTCTTCTCTGGTATTAGGGAGCCCCCGAGGTGTTGCTGTAATAGGTGAGGACTGAGGTCATGGGAGGAGCTAAAGGAGAGGAGGCGAGGGACAAGCTGCAAGACCTAGAGTGGATTTAGACATGTGCGTGTTGTTAGTTGCCAGGTCAAATCCAACTCGTGGAGACCTCATGTGTGTCTGAGTACAAATGTCCCTCACAGAGTTCTTGCCTGCAATCTTTATGGGAATCGATTGACAGGCCTTGCTTCTATGGTGCTGCCGGGTAGGACCGAACACCAGCCCTTAGGTTAGCAGCTGACTGCAAGCTCGTACCACTCAGGGAGCTTGATTTAGGGCTGGAGGTTGATGAAGCCCCATGGGTCAAAGAGGAGAAGGAGTTTTCAGTGTGGGTGAGTGGGAGACACGGAGTTCAGGGTGATTCTCAAAAGGTTCCTTGTATCTGGGAAATGCCCAGCTGGAACACGGTGGGGTGGGATAGACCCGAATGTTTCCAGACAACAAAGCAAAGCGTGCTGAGGGTTAGACCTGTAACCTCGGTGTGAGTATGGTGCTGAGCACATCAGCGTCAGACAGCTTCCTACTCTCATAATCCATTACTTGCCCATTGTATTTTTCCAGGATTTATTGAAAGCACCTTCGACTCAAGATGTGTGAGGCTGATTAATTACATGCACCTTCTCCTCAGCTCACCTTCCCCCAGACAATGTCATTGCTGTCCGGCCATTTGATGAACACATCGCTTGCCTGCCCCCTGGTGAAGGGGAGGTACCCGGTCTCGTTGCCAGAAATGGCGGGGTCCTGCGGGGAAGGGATTAAAAACAGAAGAAGTGAGAAACACATCTCCAGGGAACGTCCTCTCCAAAATTCCAACCGATAAGGCTCAACACCTAAGACCACGGAGAGTTCTCCTCATGTCTGCTTGGCTTGTTACTGCCCCTGTTGCCGTTAAGTTGATTCCGACTCACAGCAACGCAACACAAGTGTCCCACAGTGTTCACAAGGCTGTTGTCTTACAGAAGCAGACTGCCTCATCTTCCTCCCCCAGAGCCGCCGGTGGGTTCGAACTGCTACCGAGCGCTTAAGCACTGCACCAAAGGGAGGGTGTCCCAGGTACCCAAATATGACATCACCCCCTTATGAAGGATCATCTTTCACAGGGAGTAAGAAACTTTGTCAATAAATGAAGATGTCTTCCTAGCCTATAGAAGATACCCACCCACAGAAGGAAGGACATTTTTAAATACTGTAGAAATGAAATATGACACAACAGAGCGATTTTACAATGTGTAGTAATCTATTTCTAAAAAAGCCAATTCATTGAGTTTCCACAGTATAATACCAATGTTCCTTAAGGACACAAACAGTTCGTCTATTCTGTGACCAACTTGTCTACCTCAAGTACTTTCTCCCGTCCCCCACACCTCCCTCCTGTTCCACTGTTCTCCATCCTAGTGTCCTGTTCACAGCCAGTGGTCACATCTGTTAGCCCATCAAAGTCACCCACCCTTATGTCTATTTGTTGGCTCTCTTGCCCCACTAGAATGTAAGTCCTGTAAGAGGAAGTCTATCACCTTATCAACTAATCAGTATATAATTATATATATATATATTATGCTCATATATCTATATATATGCACACATACATACACATATAAGTTAGTTGATAAGATCATGGATTTTTTTTCTTATAGGGCTTACGTGTGTGTGTGAGAGAGAGAGAGAGAGAGAGAGAGAGAGAGAGACTGCAGGAGCCCAGTGTCACAGTGGCTAAGTCCTCAGCTGGTAACTGAAAGGCTGGCTCTCTATGTAAGTGTATATGTCATTAGGGCAGGGGTTGTCCAATGGCCAGGGCTCAATATCTGAGTGAAGGAATGAATGAATAGGGCAGCAAATTACACTTTACTTCCTAGAAGCTGGAAGGCAGGACCATCTGCAGGTGACCAGTTCTATTTATGGAGGTGGATGGCTTCCAATATAGAACCCTAAATTGGTATTCTGGGGGAGTTCTGGTGGCATAATGCCTAAGGCACTTGACTGCTAACCAGAAAGCTGGAGGTTCAAACCCACCAGCCACTCCTCAGAAAGAAGCTTGGACAGTCTACTTCCACAGAATTACCACCGTGGAAACTCAAGGAGGGGTTGGCATTCTGGATTTAACTGGTCGTTTGTGAGTTTGATCAGGGGTCCCTGAGCTATTCCCTCTGAGGACTGAACACAATGCAAAAATGCAACCACTGCCATGGAGTCAGATCCGACTCATAGCAACCCCACCTTGGGTTTCCAAGGCAGTATCACTACGGAAGTACATTGCCCAACCTTCCTTCTGAGAAGTGGCTGGTAGGTTTGAACCACCAGCCTTCCGGTTAGCAGTCAAGTGCCTTAGGCACTATGCCACCAGAGCTCCGAGGACTGAACAGGGAGACACACTTCCCCATAGCCAGTGTCTTAGCCTACTTCTAACTCTACCAAGAGGATGGGAATAATAAAGTATACGCCAGGAGCAGGCATTTATGAAAAATAAACATCACAAAGTATCACCTTCCAAAAGCCAGTTTTTGGTTTGTTCTTTTGTCCTTTGTTTGGTTTTTAATTTTTTTTAATTTTTAAATAATTGTAGATTCCCAAAAAGTTGCAAAGAAGTGCAGGGAGTCATGTGTATCCTTCACCCTGCTTTCCCCAGAGCTATTGTTTTGGAACTGGGTGTGTGGAAACAGAAAGCAGAAAGTCTGTCAAGACACCCACCAGAATGGGGATGAATCGCATGCCACTTTTCTTCATGCGGTTAACCAGGTGCGCTAGGTCTCTGAAGCTGGGGTTGAGGGTGAAGTCCAGCTTGCGCTCCATGTAGTCCATGTCCACGTGCTGCACGTCCTGCAGGGAGGAGCAAGCTCGGCATTAGGACCCTGCGTCCCCACCCAGGCCACCAGGACTCCTCTGTCGGCCCCAGCTACCCTGAGTTCTTTCCTCGTGAGCCCACATGAGACTCTTCACTTCTCCTGATTCCGGCACGGACCTCAGCTCTTCTCCTTCTCTTTCCCCACCTGGAATTCTCACCCCTTTCCTTCCCTCAGCTCCTGTCTTCCCCACTCATCAAGTCTCAAACCCCTGGAGCCTTCAGACACAGTGCTTGTTGAGTCATTCAAGGGCAGAAAGCAGAGGTATCCGAGAAACTGGGAGCGTTGTACGTCTGGGTCTCTTTCCCACAGTAGACCTGACCAAATTTATTTGCATTTATGACTACACTACGTTACTGCTTCCTGAAATGGATATATTTCTGCCATCCTCCCAAGACTGGACTGTTCTTGAGGTAAGAACCATGTCTCCCCTTCTCTCTATACACAGTACCAATCACGGTTTTCACGCACGAGACTATCTCAGTCTATGATGCCTAAAACAAACCCAAATCCACTGCCACTGAGTGGGCTCACAGCACCCCTAGAGGACAGAGCTGAATTACCCTATGGGGTCTCCAAGGCTGCCAATCTTCATGGAAGCAAAACCCAAACCAAGCCCACTGCTGACCAGCCAATTCTGACTCACAGTGCCCCTAGAGGACATAGGAGAACTGTCCCATAGAGTTTCTAAGGCTGTCAATCTTTACGGAAGCAGACTGCCTCATCTTTCTTCCATGGAGCAGCGGGTGGGTTCCAACCCCCGACCTTTTGGTTAGCAGCCAAATGCTTTAACCACTACACCACCAGACCTTCTTTGAATGATGCCTAGAGAGGTTAATATCCAGGTGAGAAAACAGATGGTGCCTGGAGGGGATGATCACCACTATTGCATTAAGCCTCTAGGTCACACTTGGTGGGGGGGACACTCCTGTTTAAACCACAGCCGAGAAAACAATGAACTGACATATTATTAATATTGATTGCTTTGGTAGGGCAGATTTTTAGGTTTTTTTCTTTTTCTTTCTTTTACTTTCCTATCTTTTCTTCAATTTCAGTTTAATAAGAGCATATCATAGAAGTAACTAAAAACAGTTCTTAGTAGGATAGCAGTATGGAGAAACAGAAGCCTAGATGTTTGTGTCAAATTGTCTTGCATGAGGCATCATAGCACCCCATCGCATCCTCATCTTCCAAGTGCTAATTCTAAGACCTTAGGAGAAGACTGGAGAGCAGGGAACAGGAGTGAGTGCTGAGGAACTGGCAATTAGAGGAGCACAAGCCCACCGTCTGCGGACTCTGCTGTGATACACATACATATCACGGTCATACACAGGGTTAAAGCACTGGCTGCTAACCAAAAGGTCAGTGGTTTGAACCTGCCAGCCAGTCCGTGGGAGTTAGATGAAGCAGTCTGCTTCTGTAAAGATTGACAGCCTTGGAAACCCTCTGGGGCAGTTCCACTCTGTCCTCTAGGGGCACTGTGACTCAGAATTGACTTGATGGCAGTTGGTTTTATTGGGTTGCGTGTTTATATGTGTGTTTCAGAGAAAGTGTGGCTTGGCTTTCGCTGCTTTCGTTCACATTGTTCCCTCACAGGCACCATCTCCAAGAATGGTCATAGGATAATCTCTTACATCCCCACTTACCAGTTGCCATTGAGTCACTCCTGACTCATGGTGACCCCAGGTGTCTCAGAGTAGAACTGCTCCACGGGGTTTGCAGTGCTCTGACCTTCTGGAAACAGATCAGCAAGACTTTCTTCCACAAAGTCTCTGGGTGGATTCAAACTACCAACATCCTGGTTAGTAGCCAAGCACTCAACCATTTGCATTACCCAGGGACTCTGACACCCATTCAGAAGTCCTAGAGCCGTAGGTGAAGCCCTACCATGGCCCCTGCAGGACACTCCTCATAAGATCAGGAGCAGTAATACTGTTCCAGCCACGACCGGCTGAAGGCTTTGGGCAAGGCTTCCTTTGAGCCCTTGTGCTACAAGGGGACCAGAGATACATTTAAGAGGCAGCAGATGTCCCCCTAGGCCATTGCTACCTTTTCTTCTTATATTGAAATACAGTCACATCCATAATTCCTATGAACATATTTTCAACACATAATTGGCCACAAATCCCCAAAGCTAATTACACCACGGGCAGAGTGGGATTTCATACATAAGGGATCTGGGCTGCCACCATCGCATCGTACAAATCAGAGATCTCAGTATCGTTATGGTATCCATAGCGACTCAGCTGGAATCCCAAGGCCCAGTATGGAGTCATCACTGGCCGGCCAATCAGCTAGAACAGAAAAGAGAGAAATGGATCTATGTAAACTCTCTAGGGAAGAAAGGTCTGTGGCCTTATATGTGAAGCACCTGGACATTGTCTACTGAGTGCTGTTGACACAAGTCTTCATTCAAGGAAAGTAAAGTGGAATCAAAGCAGAACAGCCGTGGGGTTTCAGAAGGACGGTGACTTTTCCGTCAAAGTGCCCCATAGTCTTGACTCCCGTCAGGAAACCAGTGCGGTGGTTATCACTGAATAGAGATTCCTAGGAATGCTTTTTACCAAACAGCTAAGAAACAGATATATCTCTCTAGAGGGTGAAAAAGAGGAAGCCCCTCAACTATATGGGTTGATGTAGCATGGCAACAGTGAGCTCACACACAGCAGTGATCGTGAGGAGGGTGCCGGACCGGGCAAGGTTTCCATGTGATCCATAAGGGCTCTGTGGGTCAGAACCACCGCGACAGCACCCAACGACAACAACAACATGGAGGGGCTCTTAACATGCCGTCACGTCTCTCAGCTCAAATCTGTCTTTCAGGAAAGACAGCAATAACACAGTGGGGACATCACGGGCCTAACACAATCTCAAGAATGTGATAATGCCTGGTAACGATTTGGTGATTTCTCAACGGATAGAATGGCTGCCAACCTCGGTGTACTGCTGAGTGACGAGTTCAGGGGTTGGCCCCAAAACCACATAAAAGTCCAAAATCCCTCCTGTGGTGCGGTATGTCAGGGCAGGGGTGGGCTGGAGCATCACATCTGTAAGGAAAGGTAAAAGGTGAGAACATCGTTGGAGTCCAGCCACCCAGATCAGGAGCCCATCCGAACATGTGCCGCATGGCTTTCTCTCTGGTCCTTTAATGTTCACCCTCTAGAAAGTCCTCACCCAGCAGAATCAGAGATGTTGAAGATACCCCCAACATACATGCTTTCAACATCAGATATCACTCTGTGAAAAGAGCTACAGGGTCACAGTCACACAAGAGCAGGTGCCATGTTTAGTCAACATGTTGCCCCTAATAGCTGAACTACACCAAAAAAACAAACCAAACCCATTGCTGTCAAGTCAACTCTGACTCATGGCAATGCCATGTTGACAGAATACAACTGAGCACCATAGGGTTTTCTTGTCTAAGATCTTTACAGAAGCCAATTGAATACTTGGCCTAGAGCTAATCTTGATACACATGGAATGATGAATGAATGAATGGAAGATCAGTTGGATTGCTCCATTTCCCTTGGCCCTACTTCCCAACAAGGTGATCTCGGCTGTTTCTGGGTCCACAGGGAGGGTGCCCAGTCTTACCCATGGCATTGCTGTTGAGCAGAAGCACTCCGTGGGCACTGCCATCCCCCTCCAGTGCCATGTAGTAGGGGTGCACGCCATAGGAGTTCTTCTTGTACTGGGAGTCATGGAGAAGAAGATAAAATCCAAGAAAGTGTTTCCACATCACAACCCAAACAGCAAACTCTTCCCCCACATTAGAGACTTGACTCAGCAGCATGTCTTCGACAGAGCCTTCCTTGAGTCCTCCCTCCTGCCCCAAGTGCTGCCACCCGCATGCCCTTCTTGTTTCTTATTGCATAATTCTGTCATGGCACCGACTCCACTCTGGAGTCATCATTTCCACATCTCTCTCGCCACCAGTCAATTCCTCCAAGAGCAAAGACAATGTCTTATTAAATTCAGAGCTAAGTACTAGGGAATGTGCCTGACATGTAGAATATGTTAAATAAAGTTTGTAAAATAAATAAGATGTATAGTCCATAGGGTAAATATACGTAAGTCTTTTAGAGACAAAAAAAAAAAAAAGACTATAAGATTTATTAATGGAAGATGAAGCCGCAGGAATACTAAACCTGTTGCCCTGGGTCCATTCCAACTCAGTGCGACCCAATAGGACACAGGAGAAGTAACCCATAGGGTTTCGAAGGCTGGAATCTTTTCAAGGCAGATTGCCACATCTTCCTCCATGGAGCGGCTGCTGGACTCTAACTGTCAACCTTTCAGTTAGCAGCCAAGTGCTTAA